CTTCTTCTTCTTCTTCTTCTTCTTCTTTTCTTCTTCATCCTTCTTCTTCTTCTGAGGATGAGGATCAAGAAGATGAAGAAGAGAAGAAGAAGTAGGATGAAAATAAGATTAATTCCAAACAGGCAAAAAGTGTATGTGCAGAGCTCCTCTAAGTGTATCTGCAGAGCTCCTCTAAGTGTATCTGCAGAATAGAGGAACTCTGCACATACACTTTTTGCCGGCTTGGAATTATTCTTCTTTTCATCCTACTTCTTCTTCTTCTTCATCCTCATCCTCATCCTATTTCTGACAGTTCTCTCACAGCTTCTTCACATGTACAGTGGTTGAAACATCTGTATCCTAAATGTAAACTAATAGATACAATGTTTCAACCGCTAAACATGTGTTCCTTCTGTCAGAGAACTGTCAGAAATAGCGGAGCTCACTGCAGGGACACTTTTGCCGGCTGATCGGGAAATGTTCGATTCGCGCACCCGAAGTAGGCAAAATTTCGGTTTCGCCGCGAATCGAATATTTCCTGAAATTCGACTCGAATTCCGGTTCGCCTGGTTAGATTCGCTCATCTCTAAATATCACACAACGTGACCTTCTGTCACTTCCCCCTTAAGTGGTGGGAATGCACAGATGGTCATGCTGTGTGAAAAGGACTAGTTGGGGTTCTTCCTGTAGCTGATTTCTCCCCCCTTCGTGACCTACCATGCCTTGTTCTGCACTGTTTTCTCTGTGGCCAGTTCGTAAGAGGCAGATATTGCCTCCTAATGTCAGAGTCTCCAGAAAGGAGAACAGTGACAACACCAAATCTCACTCCAAATCTGGTGAGGCTAACATTCAGGGGCAGTAGTGTCTTAGATGATCTCACACTGCATACATACAGCTATGAGTCCACAAAACAGGAGCGCCTGGGAATACTCACAAAGTTACATAGTTAGTCTGGCTGAAAAAAAGACAAAAGTCCATCCAGTTCAACCAAGAACAAAAAAAAGGTAATCCTATACCCACAATTGATCCAGAGGAAGGCAAAGCATGATCCAATTTGCTCTTGCAGGGGAAAAAATTCCTTCCCAATCCCCCTCGAGAGGCAATCAGATATTCCCTGGATCAACTTACCTATAAATGTTAGTATCCAGTTATATTGTGTGTATCTAGGAAATAATTCAGGCCTTTTTTTTCAAGTTTAGTCCCCGCTTGTGTCTCCATTGGGATATTTCCCTTGTACTACTGTGATGGATTTGGTAAAATGCCTATTTCGTTTCCTATTGAATATATATATATACGCTATTTCTATAAGTTTTATAAATATTTACTTTTATACTTTAATACATATGTTGTGTGAATATTTTCTGCCTGCTGGGCTTTGTGGTACTATAAGAAATCCTTGCTTAAGAAATGTCTGCTCACACACACAGACCCCCTCCCACCGTGTGATTTGGGAAACAAAGGAATGTTTTCCTATGAGATAAGGCCTGGAAGAAGATCACACCTATACCATGACGGAGATTGTTTTCGTGTGGAAATGACCAATCAAAGACTAATATAATGCTTATGCTGTTGTCACATGACTCTCGCATCATTCTGCATATATAAGTTCACTTTCTCATTATAATAAACTAGAAGTGTTCATAGACTGAACTTGTGTGTCAGCGTGAGTCCCTTCCAATGTGCGCACATTTCAAAAGCTAGCGTCATAAATTAGGACAGGAACAGATAAGCACTGGATGATTAAGTCCATGACTAAAACACTACCTTTTACATACCAGGAGGTGCACTGCTGTTTCAAAAGGAATACCGGACAAAATGTACATTTTACATGGTATTGTTCAGGTACAACAAAGACTTCTAGATATCCCCTAAAACATAACAAAACTTTATTTTTTGTGTTTAGTCCACTTTTCAAGGGGCTTCAGCATGGATTTTTGTTGTGTGCTGAGAGTACCCAGGGACTTGGGGCTGAAAAGCGATATGATGCACTGGGTGAGATTCACTAAAACTGGAGCCAATCAGCTTCCAGGTTTTTTTTTTTTTTTTTGTCAAAGCTTAATTCAACAAACTTTCCTTGATAGATGGGTAACCTGTCCCCCAACTAACCACTCACAAAATGCACGCCAAACCAAGGAGCCAGTGTCTTACATAAGCACTGACCTCACCAAAGATGGCCATGGAGGGTAAGCAGTGCACCAGCATCCGACAGCTATGTTCCTGATTACCACAGGAAGTCATAGAGAACAAGGTTCCCCTCAACTTCCTTCCCCTTCTGCATTGCTGCTCAAACCTAGCACCACCTACAGAGGAGAGTACAGACTGCACCTGCATACATACAGTTGTTGCATGCTTCCTAACCAGATGTCACATTGGGAGCAGCCACTGATTTCCTAATAGACAACTATGGGAATGCCTGCCCTGGGATGCATGGAACACCTGTGCATCCCCATGTGGCTAAACATGGCTCTGCACGAGGCATTGATTGAAACAGCCCATGTGAGGGACCTACAACACAGCCATACGTTTAGTTCTTGGCTAAACTACACAGCTACATGTCTAGTCCTGGGCCAACGTGCAGTAATTTTGTCTATTGTCACTTATATTTTACATTCACACGTTTATTATGTATTACCCTCCTAGTTTAGCTAGGGGGAGCTATATCCTAATGGTTAGGCAGGAGCTGAGTAGCAGCTTTGGTGTAATAGCCAGAGGGGTCACATTCTGGTCAGGGCTAAGAGGCTCTGCAGGCTAGCCCCTGTGGAATGTCCCCTTGCTCTGAGGCTTTTGGAGGAAGGCCTTGGAGGCAGTGGTGGATCTGAGGAGTGGCTGGCTGCAGTCTTGAGGGACCTCAGCAAACCCCTAACAGAAGGCTTGCCAAGGGGATGGGACTCCCTTGGAAGTATTGGAGCCTTCTCAGTAGCAGGAGTGAGGAGTCAGTTAGGAGGAGAGAAGTGTGGAGAGCAAGTTGTGAGGCAGAGAAAGGAGGCTGCCAGGAGGTCTAATGGGATGGGGCCTGTCTGCAAGCCTGAAGCTGGAAAGGAGGAAAGCTTGGAATTTACTGGCCCCCTGTGTGAGGACCACCTGTATAGCCGGGAAGGAGCAGCCCAGCTGATAGCCCTGGTAGCAGCAGCAAATCCGCAAGCGGTACAGAAAAGAATCTGAATAAGTGCACCTGCACCCCCTGGATATATAGGGGAAGGAGCAATTTGGTGGGAAACCAGATTAGCCCCCTACTAGTGACTGTTCACCTAATTAAAGGGACAGGTGCCAGATCCCCTGCTCAGGAAAACCTCCAGATTGCTGGGTGAAGAGAAACATTTAATCTAGGGTCTGGAGTGGTAGTTCCAGGAGGTTTGTCTTCAGTTATTGGTTCCCCTGGACATCCTATACCCCCTTACCCTATCCCAGTTCTAAATCCCCTCAATAAAAAAAAAAAAAAAAAAGAAAAAAAAGCTCAAGGATAGATTTACGACCTCGAATGCAAACTTGTGTGGAGAATGCAGATTACCTGGCAGTGCAGGACTATAGGGGGGCCCAATTCATCAGCAGCCCCTAAGGAGGTAGTGCTACAATTATTTTATTTCCCATAAACTGCATTTCCATTAATTCTCCTTTCTGGTGCTGAGATCAGAACTGAGAACATAATCTGGAAAAACAATTAACAAGATTAAGGAGCTTCAGTATGAACTTCAACAGTTCATTGTTCTGTGCATGCAGCGTGTAATTAATGTACTTAATGTAATCTATCATTAACATTCTGGATTTTCCTAGAGCAATTCCATGCATTATGGGTACACAGCATCAGGTGACTCTTTTCCATACATTAAGGCAATGTAATGAAACTTGCCTACTGTGTATAAACAGAATTTCCTCTTTGGATAGAAATCCTCCTACCCGACAGCTGGCATCGCCTGACACTGTGAGCCAGCCGGCCTGACTCAGTTGGTATTGATCAATGAACAGGATTAAAAAGGACATACAAATCAGAACAATACATTTTATGTGGGGATGGATTCTTCCATCAAGGAGTAGACTAAACTGGATATTTTTCCAGTCTTATGTATGAGGATTATGACTGTTTATGCAAATATCTGCACTCTAAAAGAACTTAAATGTAATCCATTGCAGTTTACTAGTCCTTAGATGTGGTGGCATCATTGGTGTTCTTTATCTTAGTTTGATTATATTTTCTGCAAGTACAGAAAATGACAGTTGATCCTGCCAGAAACCCAATGTGCTTTTAATTTCCTTTGCAGTGAACTTGTACTGTATTTTAAAGTGTAACTAAAAGCAATTTTTTTTTAATTTTGGATATAGTAAGGGAGGGTAAAACCCCTGTCATTTTCTTTTTTTTGCCATCTGTGACCATTGGGGTGATTTCCCTTCACTTCCTGTCCCATAGCCAAAACAGGAAGTGAGAGAAAATCCATCCAAAGTGAGAGAATCTTAGGGTGTCACCAGGGTCACCAGAACTAGTGTCCCCATTGGAAGATTACCACTTTTTTACTGATCTGATGTCAACCCAAAATTTGGGCTTTTCTTTTACTTTTACTTTTAAAGATAACAATAAACAGGACAAACAGAGAGGGTGAATCTCCCTAATGATGATTCAAACAGCAATAACATCTGACAGGTATTCTAATCCCTCTCTACCCTGTCCAAAACTAGAAACAAAATTGCCTTTAGTGACACTTTAACCGCTAGCCTACAGGGCACTTATACCCCCTTCCTGCCCAGGCCAATTTCCAGCTTTCAGCGCTGTTGCACTTTGAATGACAATTGCGCGGTCATGCAACACTGTACCCATATGAAATTTTTATCATTTTTTTGTGACAGATAGAGCTTTATTTTGGTGGTATTTAATCACCTCTGGGTTTTTTATTTTTTCTTAAACAAACCAAAAACCACTGAAAAGTTTGAAAAAAAAATTTATTTTTTTTTATTTTTTTGTTATAAAATTTTGTAAATAAGTGATTTTTCTCCTTCACTGATGAGCGCTAATGAGGCTGCAGTGATGGGCACTGATAGGCTGCAATCATGGACACTGATAGGTGGCACTGATGGGCACTGATGAGGAGGAACTTGTAGGTTGCACTGATGGGCATTCACAGGCATCACTGATGGGCACTGAAAGGCAGCACTGATACATGGCACTGATATATGGCACAGATAGGCGGCACTGATAGGCGGCACTGACTGGCACTGTTAGGCAGCACTGACTGGCACTGTTAGGTGGCACTGACTGGCACTGATAGGCGGCACTGACCGGCACTGATGCGCACTGATAGGCGGCACTGATTGGCAGCACTGATAGGTGGCACTGATTGGCATTGATAGGTGGCACTGACTGGCACTGATGGGTGACAATGAAAGGCAGCTCAGATGGGCACTGATGTGGCATTGATGTGCACTGGTAGGCACGGATATGTGGCATTGATGTGGCACTGATGGGCACTGGCACGAGGCACTGATGGGGCTACACTAATCATCAGGGCACACTGATCATCAGTGCCCTGATGATCAGTGTACATGTCCCCTCCGCGGAAAGCCGATTACCGGCTCTCCTCTCCTTTCGAGCTGTCAGCGTGACAGCTCAAGAGGAGAGAAATGCTGATAACCGGTATTTCCCTGTTTACATGTGATCAGCTGAGATTGGACACAGCCCATATGACCGAGCCGACATCTTCGGCTCTTTCCGTGATCCGTGATCCGCTGTGTCCGAGGGACACAGCGCACCGCTGATCGCTGCATGCGCATGCACGGTGAGAATGGGAGGACATCATACGACGTCCTGCCAGAACGAGAGAACCACCTTGCATCCGTCATATTACTATATGGCGGGCGGGAGGTCTTTAAACAAAAAAGGAACTTTCTGAGCTATCATCCATGAACTGCAAAACAACTCATCTCTGTGTAATGGAGACGAGGAGGGGTGAATGTGTTCTGTAGTCCTGTTCTGGATTGAAAATACTGCTTGTCCATTGATACAGTGCAGTGAGTGAGAGTTGTCAACTTAAAGTGTTTGCAAAAGCTAAAGATTTTTTACCTTAATGCATTTTTTGCATTAGGGAAAAAAACAGGTGCATCTCCCCCCTGCTCCTCTAAATATTTACCTTAGCCCGATTTCAGTGCAGTACTGTGCCCAAGAGCAACAGCACTGCTCTCTATCTCTCACTCCTCACTGGACTCAGTGAGAGCAGGGGGCACCATTGGCTCCTGCTGCTGTCAATTAAAACCAGTGAGGAGGGAGCAGGGGGCGGAGCTGAGCTATGTTACATAGTTAATCTGACTGAAAAAAAGACAAAAGTGCATACAGTTAAAAAAAAAATTATAATCCTATACCCACAGTTGATCCAGAGGAAGGCAAAAAACCCAGCAAAATATGATCCAATTTGCTCCTGCAGGGGAAAAAATTCCTTCCTGATCCCCCGAGAGGCAATCGGATATTCCCTGAATAAATTTTACCTATAAATGTTAGTAACCAGTTATATTCTGTGTATCTAGAAAGGAATTCAGGCCTTTTTTAAAGCAATCCACAGAGCTGGCCAGAACTAACTCTTGAGGGAGTCTATTCCACATTTTCACAGCTCTTACTGTGAAGAAACCTTTCTGTATTTGGAGAATAAATTTATTTTCCTCCACATGTAAAGAGTGCCCCCTTGTCCTCTATGATGACCCCTTAATCTTCTCTTCTCAAGACAGAATAAATTCAGTTCCTCTAATCTTTGTGTCAATGGACAGTTTGGGGGCAAGCCTGCACCAGTATCTCCCCCCAACAAGCGGCTTACTGGAGGGGTACTAGAAGGCAGGTGGAGCCAGAAGCACTGGCAGGGACCCCATAAGAGCAGGATCAAAGCTGCTCTTTGGAAAATGTTGCACAGAGCAGGTAAGTATAACATGTTTGTTATTTAAAAAAACAAATCCCTCCCAACATTTTTCGATCAAAAACCTGAAGGAGCCTGGCAGAAACAATGGCTGCATCCAATCAGATGCAGCTGCTGTTCAGGTATTTTGAATACAAGAGTATTCGTTTATCTGCACTGTATAGCATGAATGGAGGAATCTCTTTGATTTTTTTCATTCAGCCTACAGAATTAATGAAGAAGCTAATAGAGTATGGCTAGCATTAAGGGAAGAAGTGTCAAAATGCAATCAATGCCATTGTCAAATGTATTCTTAAACTGGTTATATTATAAAGGATTTATATTTGCAGCAACTGTTTGCACAGGGCTTTACAACATGAGCGCAGACAATACAGTTACAATAAATGTCAATACAGGAGGAATCGGAGGGCCCTGCTTGTTAGAGTTTACAATCTAAAAGGAAGGGTCAGGTGATACACAGGGTAATAAATGCAAGGGATGAGCTGATGGAGAAAGTGGAAATACAGTTGTTAGGAGGAGGAGAAATAGGCTTCTCTGAAGAGAAGGGTTTTCAGAGATTGCCTAAAAGTGGACAGTGTGGGAGATAGTCTGGCAGATTGGGTAGGGAGTTCCATAGGATGGGAGAGGCTCGGGAAAAGTCCTGGAGGGGAGCATGGGAGGAGGTAACAAGGGAGCTAGAGAGCAGAAGGTCTTGGGAGGAATAAATAGAATGATTTGGTTAGTATTTTGAGACTAGACTAGTGAGGTAGCTGGGATTGTGGATAGCTTTGTAAGTTATTGTTAGTATTTTGAATTTAATTAGTTGGGTGAGTGGCAGCCAATGAAGGAATTAGCAGAGAGGGGTACAGAACACTGAACGGTTGGTAAGGTGGATGAATCTGGTAGCAACATTCATGGTGGACGGAAGGGGGGATAACCTATGTAAATGTAATCTAATAAGGAAGGAGTTGCAGTAGTCGAGGCAAGAGATGACCAGAAAGTGAATTAGAAGCTTTGTGGTGTCATTGGTTAGGAAGGGGCATATTTTGGAGTTGTTGCGGAGGTTGAGACAACAAACTTTGGAAAGTGATTGGATGTGGGGTGAAAGGAGCATTCAAAGTCCAGGATTACACCTAGCACCCTAACATGTGGGGATGGGTTGATGGTTGTGCCATTGATCTTGACAGAGAAATCAGGGGAAAGGGCACATGGGAGAGTAAATATAGATTGAGGAAGTGGTGTGACATCCAGACTGATATGTCGGTCAGTAAAGTTGTGATGCATTAGGAGGCTGATGTTGTGAGCTCAGGGGCAGAGCGATAGATTTGGGTGCCATCAGCATAGAAATGGTGTTGGAAGCAAAGGGAGGCTATCAGCTGACCCAGAGAGTAGATGTAGATTGAGAACAGCAGATACCCAAGAACAGAAGCTTGGGGGACCCCAACAGAGAAAGAAAGAAGAGAGGAGGAAGTAAAAATGTCAGTGACAATGAAGCAATTCTACATTTATCAACATTTAAAACTCATTTGCCACATAGTTGCCAAATTAAACAGTGCATTGAGGTTGGCTTGTGAGTTGGAGACATCCTGTAAGGACGTTATTCCACTGCACAGCTTGGTGTCATCTGCAAAGCCTGAAATGGGATTTTTAATCCCAGACCCTATATCATTTATAAATATATTAAAAAGTAAGGGTCCAATACTGAACCTTGGGGTACACTACCAACAACCCTAGACCATTAAGAATATGAATCATTAACCACTATTGTCTGAATACAATCTTTTAGCCAGTTTTCCATCCATTTACATACGGATTTTTCCAAGCCTGTAGACTTTACATTAGCCATGTGTGGGGAACTGTGTCAAAAACATTTGCAAAATCCAAGCATACCACATCCATCGCCACCCATCCTCTGTCCAAGATTTTGCTCACCTCCTCATCATAAAAGAAATCAGATTTGTTTGACAGCTTCTGTCTTTCATGAATCCATGCTGTCTGTTGCTTAAAGTATTTTTTTCCAACAAGAACTCATCTATGTGGTCTTTTATTAAACTCTCCAGTACCTTCCCAACTATAGAAGTTAAACTAACAGGTCTATAATTACTTGGTAAAGATTTTGGTCCCTTTTTAAATATTGGCACCACATTGGCCTTACGCTAATCCAGTGGTGCTATGCCAGTCATTAAAGAGTCCCTAAAAACTAAAACACCCGTGGGTGTATGAAATCCTGTCCAGGTGCTTTATTCACCTTTATTCTGTCTAAATATTTTTGGATCATATCAGTTGTGAGCCAATGTGGATCATCTGGAGCTATGTCAATACCATGCCCATTATGGACAAGAGCTCCCCCATGCTCCTTTGTATACACATAGCAGAAGAAGATATTTAATACATTTGCCTTCTCTTTGTCCCCAGTCACCCACTCTAGATTATTTTGTAAAAGGCCCACATGCTCGGACTGGACCTTTTTACTATTAATATATTTGAAAAATTTTGGGGGGTTTGTCCTGTTATCTTTTGTAATCTGTCATTATTTTTCAAATTTTGTGGCCTTGATTTCCTTTTTATATATTTCTGGTATATTCTTTTAATGTTTAAACAAAGATAGTGTTTCTTCATTTTATATTTCATAAAAGCTCTTTTCATATTATTTATAGCTTTTTTAACTTTGGCCTTAAGCCACATAGGTTTGATTTTTAGCCTTTTAAACGTGTTGCCTATTGGAATATATTTTGCAGTGTGTTCACATACAGTCTTTTTTGAAGAACTCCAATTTCTGTGTTGTGTTAATCGATGCCAATATTCCTTCCCAGTCTAGGTCTTGGAGAGCAGCTCTCAGCCTTGGAAAATTAGCTCTCTTAAAGTTGAGTGTTTTTATTTTTCCTGTATGTGCTTGCTGTTTACAGCTAACAATAAATGAAATCATGTTATGATCACTGCTACCCAGATGTTCTCTTATATGGACATTAGTAATAAGCTCTGCATGGTTTGAGTTTACCAGGTCCAGCAGAGCATCATTCCTAGATGGGGCCTCTATGAACTGTACCATAAAATTGTCCTGTAGTAGGTTTTTTTACCGTTTAACTGTTCCTGTAGTGCTTACTCCAGTCAATTTCTGGATAGTTAAAATCTTCCAGTATTATCACTGTCCCAGTCCTTGCAGCCCTTTCGGTCTGTGCAAGGAGCTGAGTCTCCACCTCCTCATTAACACTGGGTGGCCTATAACAAACTCCAACAATTACCTTTGTAGTACACACCCCCATCTGCAGTTCCACCCATAATGCTTCAGTCTCATCGCACTCTCCATCAACTAGGTCCTCTTTTACACTCACTCTGAGATCACTTCTCATGTAGAGACATACACCACCACCTTTCCTATTTACTCTGTCTCTCCGAAAGAGAAAATATCCAGGAATATTAATATCCCAGTCATGTGAAGAATGAAGCCAAGATTCAGCAATATCAATTAAATTATAGTTCTCTTCATGCACCAAAGCTTCCAACTCACTTATTTTGCTTGGCAGACTTCTGGCACTGGTGAACGAACACTTTAATGCACTTACACCTTGTGCACATGTATTTTGCATATTTTTT